CTCGACAAAGTCTAATTAAAATATTTCACCATTGTTAGCATTGCTTATATAGTTTATTAAAAAAAAAAAGAAACAAAATGTATAGATCCAACAACAATAATAATAGGAAGGAGAAAAAAGATAAGGAAAAATGTGTGTATGTATATATGTGTTGGTATATGAACTAGTAGAATAATGTCATATTTTGAACAATAGCCAGGGATGAGTTCATGGGGGTGTACATCCACCTACTTTTAGAAAATTTTAAGTTTGTTCTAGTCAAAATCGTATTTTTTATTGGAAGAAAAAAGGATTGTTATATGAAAAAAGAAAGTTCAGCGCTTCTCACTTTCACAAAATTGCATATGCGTATTTCCAGTACACAAAAAATTTCTCTCCACCCCCTCGGACTTTTTTCTCTTTAGCACATCCTTGATAATAGTACATATAACGATGATCACGCCATATGTAAAGTAAAAAAGATTTATCGAAAGATGATCACATCATATAGAAGACAAAATATAATGTGATTAAAATGATGAAATAATAACAGGTTCATCGAGAAATATCTCGATAACAACCATATGTAATAAAATATGTAAATACTTCTTTGAAATATGTTTCCAAGTTGATAGTTAATTTGCAAAGTATTATACTACATGAAAGATATAAATCACATTTATATTATTGCTTGTACGTACAAAAAAAATCATCGAAGCGTATAGAAGAAAATAAATAGGTTATGAAAAGTGTCGTTATATGAATCTTTGACTCAATACCTAATATTATTTTTGCGCTGTTTGTTTAGGGTGAGTAATCGACTGTATATATTTTTCTTGTTTTCATTGAGTCATAAAACAGAGCAGCTTGCGTTGGTATAAATCACGACTGAAAAGTATAAAGAACGATTCATTATTCTTACGTTTCGGTTTTTTTTTCTCTCTTCTATCGAAACTGAAATCGCATCTCATTAGAGAAAAAAAAAATATTCTTTAATTAAAAAGGATAAGAGAAGAAAGGTTCTTCCCCATGATATCATTTCATTTCCCCTTCTTTGCCATATTTATAAAACATTCTCAACTATATAATTTATATTTGTTCTAGACAAATAGTTGTTATTTATATCATTAATCCTTGATTTAATTTATACTTATTACTCTCACATGGGTAATATCCTGGATAAAGATCGAAATCGAAAAACTTTAGGCCTTCCAAGTCATGTGACGAAAATTGCATCTTCTAATGATAATTCAATTGAAACAAATGAAATTTCACCTGTTGTTGTTTGGTGTGATGCAACAATTGGTTTAAGTACAAATGCCGATGATGATATAAATACATTAATTCAACTTGGACGTATTGTCAGTAAAAAACGAAAACTTATACATACATTTAATGATTTAAGTATATGTCAAGATTTTATAAAACATGTCAATAATATTTTTCTTATTGTATCTGGTTCAGTAGGAAGACAACTTATACCATTAATTCATGATCTTGATCAAATTCATTCAATTTATATTTTCTGTTTGAATAAATCTAGTCATGAATCATGGGCAAAACAATATGAAAAAATTCATGGAGTATGTACAGATATAGGAGAAGTATGTGGACATTTGAAAAAATATTTTACTTTTCAATCATCATCGGAATATGAACAATTACAATTTGATATTTTATATAAAAATTTTATATTACCAACAACAGATCAACAAGAATTATCATATATATATGCAATATTAAGTAAATTAATATTATATAATATGAATTCAATAAAACAACAAGATATGATAAATTATTGTCGAACAGAATATACAACTAAAAATCAAATAACAATAATTGATCAATTTGAAAATAATTATTCTCAACATAATCCTATATGGTGGTTTACAAGAGATAATTTTTTTCAACAAATTATTAATCGAGCATTACAATTAAATGATTTATATACATTATGTATGATGAATCCATTTCTAAAAGATCTTAATAATAAACTTAAACAATTACATAGAGAACAAATGTCTTCATCATCAAAAATACTTCATGTTTATTTCAGTCAATTAATATCAAATAATGACTTGGCTAAATTGAAATCAAATCAAGATGGACTTATATGTATTAATGAATTTCTATTTGCAAATTTAGAACAAACAATACCATTAACGTATATTGAACATCAAAATTCTAAAACAAATATCAATAATATTAAAGCTCTTTTTAAAATTTCTATTCCACAAACAAATGAACCGAATGTTGCGTATGCTAATATTGGTGCTGTAAGTGAATTTGTTCATGAAAAAGAATATCTTCTATCAATGTCAAGTATATTTCATATTGGAAAAGTTGAAGCATTTACTGAAGTTACATCAGTTTGGTTGATTAATTTAACATTGATTGATGAAAATGATAAGCAATTAATTAATCTTTCACGATTTATAAATAAAAATGAATTATGTCGAGATAATGATTTATCTGAATTAGGTTCTATTATTACAGATAAATTATGTCAATTTAAATCAATACGAAAATTATTTGAAAACCAATTTAATTCTGGAACTAAACAAATTCGACCAATTCTTTTACATTATAATATGGGAATTATATATGATTGTTTAAATGAATATCAAAAAGCATTGGATGAATATAAATCTGCAATAATTTTAACTCGAAGTTTTGGATCTAATCATCATCAAAAAGATAGTTTATGTCTTATACCATTATATTCAAATATGGGATTAACTTATCAACATATGAATATAGGTAGTAATGCATTTGATCATGCTTTTCGTGCATTAAATATTCTTTCAAATAATCGAGAAAATCCAACATTTCAATATGAACTATATAATGCAATCTATTCTAATCTTGGTTCAATACTTCAACAACAAGGAAATATTTCTCAAGCTAAATGTTATTATACCCATGCATTGAAAGCTCAACGTGAATATTTATCAAACGATCATCCAGATGTAATTAATCTACAGAATATAATTACATCATTATCTTCTGAAGAAAACGATTGTACAGATTAAATTAAACAAAAATGTAAAGTTGTTTTTTTTTTTATAAATAAAAATCAGTTTATCGTGTTTTTTGTTTCTTTTATACAATAATAAATTAATTCATTGTAAAAATAAGTCCATAATTTGTAAGTAAGATTACGAATATGAGTTCCAGTTCGACTTTAAAATTCGATGCCATTTTCTCAAAATCAAATTCTTTGAAAAAGAATAAGAACATATTAGAAAAAAAAAGTATTTGTACTACGTGTAGGCGACATTCCTCTAAAAGTTGGATTATTTGCTAGAAAGTGAACTTCATGAAAAGATTTGCACTCAGAATAATCTGAAGACTTAAAATAAAACAAGAAAAATCAAACTATTATATGATGGTCATTACAGTGTATATTTAAATATTGAATTTAAGCTTAAAGACACTTCTTTTGAGGAAAGTTGCTCAAAGAATTTATGGCTTTTGAGTCGAGATTATATGCGTCATGTAGAACTTAATGAACAATGAATATCCAGGAAATTAGCTTGAGTCATTATTTTATTGCTGTGAAGATACTATACTTTTTCCGGAGTTTTTTTAAAACAATGTTATGGTCCTCCTTCTAAGAACAACAGAAAAATTGATTTTTGAGTTTCGATTTGCAACATTGTAAGAGACAGACTTTAACTAGAATAATTTATTGTGAAAGTTTTGGATTTTTTCATTAGTTTCGATCCTGAAATAAGAACATCAAGTCTACTCGTGTTTGCCAGCGATGTAAACGATACGCTTATACTATAACTGTATATTGAGATAGGAATAACGAAAAGATTGAAAATTTTCACAATTTTAAGGCTTGTTTCTATGTAAAATTTCAAGTCAAAATTCACAAATCAGTTTTTCTGGTGTCCTCAAAGGATAGGGATGTGCAGTTTCAATGAAAATACTGAAATACTGGCAGTGATTTACCGACAGGAAGTCTGATGACACGTTGACTCCATTGGATCGATGTTAACTGAAGCATTCATATATCCACACAGCATGAATACTTCAGGTAAATCAGTAAACGCCGATCAAGTATAGTTAATGTGAGTTTTCGATGAACATTCTATTGAAACTGCACATCTCTATGAGAAGTACCACAGTATTGAGTTAAAGAAAGTCATAGAAATATAATATCTTCGCAGCAATAAACTAAGAATTTGGATTCTTTCAAGTTATTTATAGCTCATTAATGTCTGCATGATGAATATAGTCTCAACTCAAAAGTGATTCATCTATAGTTCTCGGTATAAACTACAGGCAAATCGAATATGTTATGGAACAAATGATTTGATGTTGTTTATTCTGTTTTAATAACCGATAACTGCATCAATAAGTAATGATTACATATATTTAATAATTAGTCAAAACAAGGATACGTATATACGAAACATTTTAGAAGTAATCATAATGATGAAATATATGGTTTTTTTTTATTATTAACAAGGACATCTTTATTTAAATAAAATATAATGTTCACAATTAGTTGCGATTCATAACGAATCATAATAAAATAATAAATCTTATGACTAATATCTTTAATAGCCAATGTATCCAGCAGAATTAAAATGTATAGAACATCTACTACTTCTGAAATGCATGATGTTTTACACATTGCTGAGAAAATTTAAATGTATCTTGTACACATTGCTAAAGAAATCTAGATTTTTATTTCAGATTTGTTTAAATCTGTACGCAGTATTAAAATAAAACTTATGTTTAAATGATAGTACTACGCTTCCATGAACAAAAATAAGTTTCTTTTTTTCCCTTCCCTTGTATTATTATATATATATTTGTATGCACATATTATAATGACCAATTTTGATGATTTTAAAAAAATACAAACAATAATGCAAAGAAGAAAAATATCCTATTTAATCATTTTCAGTTTTAGAGTGCATCTATGCCTAAACGTGTCTATTTTGAAAGTCGATAAACTTCACAAATAGTTATCCACTCTATTACCAATAATCGATGATGATGTAGCTCTGAATCAAACCGGTAATTTCATTCGAAATCCTTCACGTCCGACTGCTGGAACTTTGCATGCACACAACACCAGTTCCATTATTATGATACAAAATAATGCCGCATGCCATGAATATGTGTATGGAAAGCGTGGGCAATCGAGCAAGAACTTGACTGACATTGCTGGTCCGATTCAAAGCTACGTCACCATCAATTATTGGTAACAGAGTGAGTGACCATTTATGAAACTCATCGACTTTCAAAAAAGACACGTTTAGGCATAACTACACTCCAAAATTCAAAACAATAAAAAAACACGGTATTTTTCTTCTGTACATTGTTATTTGTGTTCTCTCAATATAATCAAAATGCTTTTTTTTTAAATAAATACAAAACAATACGTAAATAAAATAGAATATGTACATACGAATGTATATACATAATAATAATAATACAAGAGGAAAGAAAAAAGAAACAATTGAAAAAAAGAACTTATTTTTGTCCGTGAAAGATATATAATTGACATTTATCGCATAAACTGATGTTTATCATACATGGGATTAGTTTGGTTTCAAAAAAAAGTGAATCAATCTCATTTCTAATGTTTATTTTCTTGTAAACGCATCTGATGATAAAATTAATTCGAGTATTTACCGTTTATTAGTTTGCTCAGTATTAATTTAT